TCACCCGAGGAACAATAAATTCAAAAGCGGCAACTAATAAGTTGTCAAACATTATTCTTAAGTATGATTGCAATTATATTTTCAAGAAAACATACAGTCCATTGTGACCTGTCCTAGCCTCAATAAACGCAGAACATCCCTGACTCCTCATTCTAGGCTTAATCGATCTCAGGGGGGACTCGGTCGACCTCTTCCATTGCAGACTACAGTCGTCAAGCAAAAGCTTCAACATGCAGTCTTAGATAGGTCAAAAACTCTTGGTGGAATTCCTTCTACCTTTTCCATTACAGGCTACATTCGTCAAGAAAAAGCTTCGACATACAACCTTGGACAGATCATAAATCCTTGGTGGATTTCCTTCAACCTCTTCCATAACAGGTTATGGTCATCGAGCAACGGCTTCAACCAACAACCTAGGGTAGGTCAGCCATCCTCAGTGGATTTCATATGACTTTGTTACAGATTGACACTGTCGAACATCTTTGGTTATACAACTCGAAATTAGTTTTACATCCTCAATGGATTCTCCTTTCAACCATGTCCCTAGATTCTAGCGCAAATCACAATACCAAATAAGAAGCTACTTCACTGAAAAATCTCGGAAGATTACGAGCTTTAGAAGGTACCGGTTCAAGCTCTTATAAGACATTGATCTGACATGACACAACCTAGAAAGGCATGAGCCACAAAAGATGATAAAAAAATACTACAAATATCAACATATACTTGTACAAATGTTACAAAAAATCCGCGCATCATCGATAGAGTTGGCATCGCCTCCCAAAAACCTCAGTACTTCTAATGATCGTCAGAGGGTCTTCAGATATCACCACCATATGAGCATGAAAATCTTCCCCTCAAAGCGCAGCAGAAAAACATCAACATTTCTTGAAGAAATGTTCAAGAGCATCACTGGAATCTCCTGTGGAATGCACGGCACCAACAAGAAAGAGGATCCCGTTTTTGTCCTGCTACGTAGGACGGGGATGACTTTCTTCATCGCCGCAACGAGAATGAAGATCCCGTTGTTGGCCTACTACGCAGGACGTTGACGAATTTTCTCTTCACTGCAACGAAAAAAAAGATCTTGTTGCTCGCATGCTATGCAGAACGGAGACGACTTTCCTCTTTGTTGCAATAAAAAAGAAGATTTCGTTGTTTGTCTGCTACACAGGGTGGAGACGACTTTCCTATTCGTAGCAGCTCTTCCCTGCAATTGTTCACCTCAAATTTACGCAGCAATTTTTCACCTCAACTCTGCGCCTCAATTCTTCATCGCAACTCTTTGCAACAACGCGTAGCCATAATGCACCATCGTGACGCTTCGCTGCAATGAGTCATGTAACCCCCCCCAAACCCCCGCCACAACACATCGCCGCGGCGCATCGCCGCAACGCATCGCCGCAACGCATCGCCGCAATGTGTCGCGTCACGACGACGTGTTGACGCGGCGCCCTGCCACAACGCCTCGCTGCGCCGCAACGTCGCGATGCACTGCTACGACGCCCCGTCACAACGCCTTGCTGCGATGCATTGCCGCGACGCCTCGCCGCGAAGCATCGTCACAACTCATCGCACGAAGCAACGCCTCGACGCACAGCTGCAACTCTTCGCCGCACCGCCGCGACGCTTTGCCCCGAAGTACCGTCGCGACGCACCGCCCAGAAGCACCGTCGCGACGCATCGCCTAGAAGCACCGCCGCTACGCTCCGCCCCGACACACCACCGCAATGCTTCGACGCAACGAACCTCTGCGACACTCCGCCACAACACACCGTCACAACGTTCCACCGCAACGTCTCCCCACAACGATGTTCACCTCACTTTTGGTTGAGGTCTAGAAACTTCTTTAGTGGCCTAGGTCTAGCCATAAGACTTTCCTATTGACTAGTCTTAGAAAATTAGAAAAGGTACCCCCACCATTAGAAATTCAAAAATTTTCTTTTTACTCAACTTGAAATTCCACATAATGATCTTAACCTCTAGCATTTAGTAGATAAGATCATTATAAGAGAATTCAAGAAGAGTCCCTATAGGATTACTTGGCTTTAGGATTGACCCTGGGTGTTGACTTGGAGCTAGGGTACACCATATCTTCACAATATATTAATCCCTGGTTCATTTAGAATGGATATCTATCCAATTCTATGTGAAATGCCTAACTGGTCTCTTGCCCCTAGGCACCTCCAAATTACCTAACTGCCCTTAGGACCCAAATTTGGC